TGTTTTGCTTTCTTTTGCAAATTAACTGCTGCAAGGATAGGTTTTTGCTTATTGTTGATGTGTGGCTACTGAATGGTTGAAAAGGAAATGTCTTCTGTTGTGTTCTACCAGTCAAGGCTGTGTCTAGGTCTCTTCTTGAATCTGACTTGTGCGTTAAAAACGGCATTGAAACCATGCCTCAAGGTGTGCTCGTTGCGTTCTAGTCATCATGACAGTATTTATTAATTATTTGCTCCTTATTTCTTTGATAAACATTAGCTGGGTTTTTGTACTCCGTGCTTTTGTTATTGCGGTGGTGTCTACGTTTCACCATTTTGGTGCTTCCACAAACCAAAGTGAATTTGCACACCATCTGTGTGCAATAATAAAGCTTTTAGCAACTCCAGATTGCTGTGCTCGTGGTGGGGAGTGTGGATGAAAGCCAGCCCAATGAATTAAGGTCATGTCCCTACTGGGGACAGAAAGCAAACTCTAAGTAAAATGATCTAGACAATCCCTTTGAGAGGCATCTGTTCCTGGTAGGACTTTGGCAACCGTGGTTACGGCTGTTAATCTTCAGGCTTCCAGCCACTGAAAGGTAGGAGAAGAGACATGGGGACTCGCTCCAGGCATTAATGGACACCTGCAGGAAAAATACTTCATGTTTTTGACAGTCATAGGTGGATGGAAAGTATTGCTGAGTAGAAAACTTGTAAAGCTAGCCACACAGGTTAAAAAAAAAAAATCACGATACAAAGCAAAATAGACAATAGCCACTTTTCAGACAAGGTTTTTAGAAAGGATTAATACAACTACTGAATCTCTGAGATCAGTGGTGATCTCTCAATGGAGACGTACTTCATAATACCAAACTTTTAGGAACCTGACATTTACAATATCGAGGAGAAAATAAAAGCTTTTGCACATAGGTCTGTGTGGGAGGAAATAATGTCGAAAGGAAAAAACCATGAACTGTTGTACCAGATAAATACACTATATTAAGAAAATTATGACGTGAGAGGGACATCTTGTGGCACAAATTAAAAAAAAAATAAAAAAAATCCAGTGGCAGGAGGAGTATCCTGGGATGTTTCCCCAGGGTTACCATTTCTGGTAGAAATTCTAGGCCTGGTAAGAGGTGAATTTGTTCCAGTTTTCCTTATAGCAGGACTCTTGCTACCCACTTTCTCATCTTCCCACTTTTTTGTCTCCATGAGTAGAGGATTACAGTACACAAAAGTTGTACCAAATATAATCCTCTGTCTTGGTGCAAATGATACTAGTTTTTAATGAAGAAATGATTTAAAATGTCACTACCATTATTTGACTGACTGTGTTGCTTCATCAGTGGCATAAAATGTAACAGTACTTTAGCTGTGGGTGGCTAACATTTATTTTCCACTTGTATCACAATCAGATTTCCATATGTTCATATAAATTGAGAAGAATACATTTAATTTTCAGGAGTACAAAGGGCCACGATTGTGTACGATCAACTGAAATTAAACCTAACGTACATCTGTGAATCACAGTATAAGAAGTATGACGTAGTCTTGCTGTCTGTGTGCCTGAACCTTTAGATCCCTTGTTTGATTAGTTTTGATCATGTGGTGAGAAAAGTTTAATTATCTTTTACAAGCAGTAGTTTTCCCAGGAGTTCTTGTTGTAACTTTGAATGATTTCTTGAATACCTTTTAAGAGTCTTAGATGAGGTTGTATTGTGTCACTGTATAGAGTGGGAGAAGTCTCTACAACACAAATATTTTCAGTCTCTCTCAGACCTCAGCCACCTGAACCACATGTTTTAATGTCATTTAGAAGTGGTTCTTCTCGGTAGGCTGGTTGTGCACTTGACCAGAGAGCTGGGGTAGCAGGTAGGTTTATCTCCAGCCCAGGTACCTTCCGGTTGCAATTCACCCCCTGTGTTGGCCACTTCGGTCTGCCTTCTGGTGCAGGGGTGCTTGAGAGAATTAACTTGGGATATTGCTGGTTTGGACTTGGGCGTGTTAAGCAAGCAGGAGTAAGTTGGCATGAACTTCAAATAGAGTTACTCCTCTCAGCTTTGGAGAAACAATAGAATGTCAGTTAAAGGGAAAAACAGGTCTGTCTCTTCTACAAAAATACCTGTCAGCTGTGTAGGAGTTAAGCTTGTACGAAAAATCTAAACATCGCGGAGTTTGTGATTTGGTGGTGCATCGTTTGTTTTGAATTTCAGCAACCAGATGTTGTTTTGGTCAGTCTCACCATTTCCAATACTACTTTGTTTTTATATATCTGAGATATATTTAAAGTTCAATGTCTGTTGTTTTCTTAAGGATGTTTATAATGTGTCTATTCATGCCTAAGGATCCAGAAATACTATTTGAATCAATTGGTATGTAAATAATTCTCTGCTTTGGAAAGACAGGAGATCGTTTCTCCAGCGGTAATTCAATCATAGCTTGTTTTTTGTATAACCACAATACCCTTGCCTAAACTTAATTCAAAGTTTGTTTCCTAGCTACAGTTCTAGTACTTCAATTGCCATGAGTAGAAATGCCATAAATTCTAACAAAAATGAAGGACAATAGTAAAGGGATCTTTCTGGGGGTAAAGATAGGGCGGGAAAACCATGGTTTTGTTTTCAGGCTTTTGCACAAGACTAACTAAAAATCTGCCAAGTCATGCTGTTGTCCGGCCCAGACTTTTGACCAATACAAGTGTATCGTAAATTTTTTTTTTTCTACTTACAGGTCAGCTAAAATCCCAAGCATTGCAGTGTGATTGCTTTGAGATCTATCCCTTTGGCTACAATTAATTTTCCATTAGGTATCCCACAGAATAACAAGCGTTTAGCTTAGGTTAACCGAAACCTTGGGTTTGTTGGTGTCAGCTGAATTCAGTGTGTGGACTTACACTCGTAAGGATGCCAGTTGCACGCTTTCATTTTTGACAAAAGGACTTCAATTGCTGAAGAGCCTCACTCCAGTCTCTTACTGGTTTGATCAGTTCAAAGACCAATTCCCGTAGCGATGGGCCTGTCCTGTGCCATGGCAGTGGAGCAGTCTGGTATCCGCGAGCTTCCACATACCATGGGAACGTGTTTTCCAGCATGTCGAGTGACTAAAACGCTCTTGACAAACAACAAGATACGAGTCTCCTGTGATGACATCTTTGCCTTGTATGCATTGAGGAGGTTTTTCTGGTTAAATATGCGTGATGGTATTAGCTTATGGTGTGAATACAAGTTTAAGTGCTATGCTGTGAATCTCTTGCATGTTTGCTCTCTGGAATGTCCTTGGGTTTTCTAGTTTGTCTAGTTTGGTGTAGGTTGTCTCGGGGAATGTCAGGGACAGCGACGCCTTTGGGTTTTGTGTGTACGTATACAGGAGGTGCTTCCCTACCTGGAGCAACATCTGGATTACTGGTGGGACACAGTTCTCAGCTTTGCCCTTGGCTTCAGGTGTCTCCTAAGCAACACAAACTACACCTAGGAAAGACACGTTTATTCCAGAATAAGCATTTCCCCAAAAGCCTTAAATTACAACTGAACGTTTGAATTCACGTCCTTGCTTGGACAGCTGTCATTTGCCGTGCAGAGAGGTGCTGAGAAGGAGGAGCAGGGGTGTGCGGTGGGTGTCTGTCTGTCTGCAGGACCAGGGCGTGGGTGTGTGTCTGTCTGCAGGGCCAGGGTGTGCAAGGGAAGAGCCTGCCGCCGCCGCCACTGTCCAGCGCGGGGGAGCCGCTTGTTTTCCCGGAGGCTGTGGGGGCGCGCCGGG